AAGGTCTCCCTGGAGCCTTCTCCAGGCTGAACCCCCCCATCTCTCACAGCAGAGGGGCTCCATCTCTCTCATCATCTTCCTGACCCTCCCCTGGACCCGTTCCAACAGCTCCGTGTCCTTCTTGTGTTGAAGACCCCAAAGCTGGACACAGAGCTCCAGGTGGGGTCTCACCAGAGGAGAGCAGAGGGGTAGAATCCCCCCCCCTACCCTCACCCTGGTGGCCACGCTTCTCTTGATGCAACCCAGGATGGGGTTGGCTTTCTGGGCTGCCAGCGCGCGTTGGAGGCTCACTGAATTTCACTGAATTTCAGAGTTGGAAGGGACCATAGAGACCATCTAGTCCAACTCCCCTGCTGAAGCAGGATTGCCCAGAGCTTGTCAGAGCATGTTACTCAGGAGCATCCAGATGGGGCTTGAAAATCTCCAAAGAAGGGGACTCCACACCCTCCCTGGGCAGCCTGTTCCAGGGCTCTGTCACCCTCACTGGGAAGAAGTTTCTCCTCATATTTGAGTGGAACCTCTTCTGGTCCAACTTGTGCCCGTTGCCCCTCGTCCTCTCACTGGGAACCACTGCAAAGAGTCTGGCTCCCTCCTCCTTCAACCCTCCCATGAGATACTTGTGGAGCTTCTCATCCTCATGGGCTCGTAGCTTTAGGGGAAGCTCCAGAGGAGTGTGGGGACATCTCGCTGCGAGCTCCACACTGAGGGATCTCAGCAGGATCTGGGGCTGCTCAAAACCCAAATGGCCTTGACCCTGCAGCGTCCTGGCTGTGAACACGACAGGTTTTCTGCAACCAGGGTTCAGCAAACCATCCTGCAGTTTGCTGAAGACATTGGATCACTCCATGGCTTTTTGAGGGTTTTTTTTGGAGTGAGTTTTAGCATCTGGTTTACTTTAATATTAAGCTTTTTTGTTCTAAGGGCATCTCTCCCTGCGAGGAAGCTCGGGTGAGCATTAGCCTCTGGTAAAACACCCGCAGGTGGTGTCTCTGAAAGGTCCCATCCCTCTTGCTCTCCGGGAGTTTCTCTCTCCTGGTGCAGCGTTTGGTGCAAAGGCTGGAGCTCTCGGCAGAGGTGACATGGGAATTAGCTGTTGGAGTCGTCATGTGAAGCTGAGAAGACACATTAATAGGAAGTCGGGGGCGCGGGAGGAAAGGAGAAGCGGTGTCACAAGATGGAAAGGCTTCTTCGCTGTTAAGACATGTCATTAACATGCAAACGCGTGCTAATGAGGAGCTTGTGATTCGAGTCGGAGAGATTGAAAACCCAAAAGGTGGAAAAGGAGTGACAAGTGGGGAGGGGGTGACAGGGAGGAGGGGGTGACAGGGAGGAGGGGTGATGCTGGGACTTGGCGGGGGCTGCTGTGGCCGATGCTGGGGGTGGGACACGTCCCTCCGTGCGGGTCCTGGCTCTGGTTTGGTGCCCGCTGTCCCGTTGGCACCGGGCACTGCTCAGGATTTCACCGGTTGCCTGCCCTGCACCTTTGCTTCCCGCTGGGATTTGGGGGACTCGCTGCTGGTGGTGTCACCTCTTGTCCCTGCAGCCCCTCTCGCCTCCTTCTCCATCCTCAAAATCATAGATCATAGAATTGCCCAGGCCAGAAGGGACCTCCAAAGGCCATCTCGTCTTGAGATACTTGTGGAGCTTCTCATCCACACGGGCTCGTAGCTTTAGGGGAAGCTCCAGAGGAGTGTGGGGACATCTCGCTGCGAGCTCCACACTGAGGGATCTCAGCAGGATCTGGGGCTGCTCAAAACCCAAATGGCCTTGACCCTGCAGCGTCCTGGCTGTGAACACGACAGGTTTTCTGCAACCAGGGTTCAGCAAACCATCCCGCAGTTTGCTGAAAACATTGGATCACTCCATGGCTTTTTGGGTGGTTTTTTTTGGAGTGAGTTTTAGCATCTGGTTTACTTTAATATTAAACTTTTTTGTTCTAAGGGCGTCTCTCCCTGCGAGGAAGCTCGGGTGAGCGTTAGCCTCCGGTAAAGCACCCGCAGGTGGTGTCTCTGAAAGGTCCCATCCCTCTTGCTCTCCGGGAGTTTCTCTCTCCTGGTGCAGCGTTTGGTGCAAAGGCTGGAGCTCTCGGCAGAGGTGACATGGGAATTAGCTGTTGGAGTCGTCATGTGAAGCTGAGAAGACACATTAATAGGAAGTCGGGGGCGCGGGAGGAAAGGAGAAGCGGTGTCACAAGATGGAAAGGCTTCTTCGCTGTTAAGACATGTCATTAACATGCAAACGCGTGCTAATGAGGAGCTTGTGATTCGAGTCGGAGAGATTGAAAACCCAAAAGGTGGAAAAGGAGTGACAAGTGGGGAGGGGGTGACAGGGAGGAGGGGGTGACAGGGAGGAGGGGTGATGCTGGGACTTGGCGGGGGCTGCTGTGGCCGATGCTGGGGGTGGGACACGTCCCTCCGTGCGGGTCCTGGCTCTGGTTTGGTGCCCGCTGTCCCGTTGGCACTGGGCACTGCTCAGGATTTCACCAGTTGCCTGCCCTGCACCTTTGCTTCCCACTGGGATTTGGGGGGCTCGCTGCTGGTGGTGTCACCTCTTGTCCCTGCAGCCCCTCTCGCCTCCTTCTCCATCCTCAAAATCATAGATCATAGATTTGCCCAGGCCGGAAGGGACCTCCAAAGGCCATCTCGTCCGACCCCCCCGCAGTCAGCAGGGACACCCCCAACTAGACCAGGTTGCCCCATCGAGCCTCTCCTTGAATATCTCCAGGGAAGGGGCCTCAACCACCTCCCTGGGCAACCTGTTCCAGTGCTCCACCACCCTCACAGTGAAGAACCCTCTCCTCATCTCCAGTCTAAATCTGTTCCCCTCCAGCTTGAAGCCATTGCCCCTCGTCCTGTCACTGCAGCCCTTTCTAAACAGGTTCTCCCCAGCCTTCCTGTAGGCTCCCTTCAGGTACTGGAAGGCTGCTATTAGGTCTCCCCGGAGCCTCCTCTTCTCCAGGCTGAACAACCCCAGCTCCCTCAGCCTGTCCTCGTAGCAGAGGTGCTCCATCCCCCTGATCATCCTTGTGGCCCTCCTCTGGACCCTCTCCATCAGGTCCGTGTCCTTCTTATATTGAGGGCTCCAGACCTGCACACAACACTCCAGGTGAGGTCTCACCAGAGCAGAGTCAAGTGGAAGACGTCTCACCAGCAAAAATAGGACGTCTCACCAGCAAAAAGACACTAAAAGACAAACGGACGAATATGAGCCGGCCGTGTGCCCAGGTGGCCAAGAAAGCCAATGGCATTCTGGCTTGTATCAAAAATAGTGTGACCAGCAGAAGTAGGGAGGTGATTGTGCCCCTGT